GCTAGCCACACACTCAGCCAGTCATTCAGGGAGGACTCCCTCTTCAACTGACGTTGGCTCACCTAAGACAGCAAGCCACACTCCAACATAAATATCTAGCTCTAGGTGGCGAGATATAGTCTAATGCTGCACTTTTATGACTGCAATACCGTCACAACTCCTCTTAGCTGTTGGCTAACTCTTCTAGCGACCGGCTGTCAGTTGGTGAACCCCACCAAGGAAGGAGAGTGGCACACGGATACCGGAAACACTCACATATATTTCACAGTAAAAGCCTCAAGGACGCAATCCACTCCAGACTCCAATATACACTAATATAGTAGTGAATGTTTACGTCCCAACTTTCCACAATTTATCAGTCTTTAATTTATTTATGATATTTCCTCACATTAAAAGGGACAAAATGATAGACTTATTTTGAGTGTTGTTTGTATCTTCCACAATAATATTGGGTATTTTTCATAGTTGTTGATGTGCATTTTTCTGTTTTGAGCCTAAGAAAAATTTATAGCCGCCTCTGATGCCCTCTTTTGATTTGTGGGTATCAACAGAATTATGCAAATTAATTGATCTCTTGTGTAGTAGCCTACTATAATTAATTCATTGCTAGTCTCAACCGAAACATTTTACATTTACATTTATTCCTTTGGCAGATGCTTTTATCCAAAGCAAAGTGGGACATCACTTAAGCTTCAGAGCAGTAGGAGACCTTGGCGCAAGTACAAAGTACAACAGCCTCTCACTAATACTCTCTTCTACATTGAAATCGAAGAGGTTAATTTGAACCTGTCTTTTGTAAGGACTTTTAATCTTTAGAAAGGTTTATAGTTTACAATCAGCAGAGTATTTCATACATGCCAGTAACTTTTTACCATTAACACACAAGGGTTTCTTTCATGTGTTTTTTTTTTTTTTTTTTTTACATAATTAATAGGCCTACTATGTATTTCTCAGTCTGGGTGAAGAGTATTTTTCACATGATTCACATTTCTCAGAGTCAGTTTCTGTGGAATTTAGATTTTTAGTCTGACTCTGATCTGTTCTCTCCTCACATCATTTTACTTGCAACACTGAAACTAGTACATGTAAGCTCATGTGGGTCGGGCACCTCAGGGTACAAGACACTTGAACAAAAATATTCATTCATTCAGTCAAAGTCGCCTTTACAATCACATGAAGTTTTGATTTTGGTTTTAATTTCAGATAGCTATATCAAATTGTGCACACACACACACACACACACACACACACACACACACACACACACACACACACACACACACACACACACACACACTTGATATATTCATAAGAAAGGTGTCCTTTAATGTTCTGTTTGTGTTTTCTCTGTACAAACAGTATAATAAAGAACCAGAGAGACAGTTATACAGGATTTACAGGATTTGCTTTATTTTATCTTAAAGACCAACCTGCAGAGAAAAAAGAATTAACACAAAACTGAACAGAAAAACAACCATTGGAAGGTGTTGCTGTATACAAGCCATTAACATTTGAAAGTCAGATGTGTCCACTGTAAGTTACAGAGTCGCAGCAGTGTTTCGATGACAAGAGGTGTCTCTCCACAGATAACAGCAGCTCCACTGGAAGCCAGAGTTTTTCCATATGGAGATGCTGTTACAGCTGGTGAGACCCACAGAAACAACACAGCTGACAGCACTGGTAGAAAGTTCTAGTATTCATTTCACCACAGGACTGAGGTTACTTCAAGTGCTTGGGAATATTTGTGGGGTTTGATTGTGATCATCCAGATGTGATTATCTTCATTTGACAACTACAATGCAGATTAAACATGATGTGTGTGAATTGTTCACATCCCCAGCAGAGGCCAGAATCGTATTGTTTCCATACTACTTAAACTGGTAGATGCCAACAATGGCTCAAAGATAAATGTTTCATAACCCTACATACTTAACCTACATGGCACCAGTGTCATAAAAGTTTACCACAAATGAAATAATGCTGCCCTCTTTTGGTCGGGCCTTGCTGACTACACAAATTCAAATCATTTTACTGCAGATTTTATATCTGAGTCCTCATGTGATAATACAACCCACACCTAATAAATGGTTAGTAAGATATCATCCACTGCAGCCTTCAGACTCCTGATCTTGGTTTTTACTGCTTCTGCGGTTACATGTTACCCTTTTGACTCCAATAAAATCAATGTCAATTACTCGGTGAAAGTGTGCTATGAGTCAAGAGGGAGTGCCATCCCATCAAAATAATTTTAACCCCTTTGTCCATTAAAATTAATCTTTTACACATAGGTACTGATATGGCTTTGAAGACAAGAAGTAAACAGCAGCACGCATCATTTCCTTGTGTACACCTCATCCCCTTAGTTTCCCATAATCTCTCTTAACTTATCCTGACTGAGCTTTGACCCTTAACTCTCTCCCTCTGTACAAAACAGAGCCATAAAGCAATTTAAGCTAAAGAGACCTTCACCCCTATTGTCTCCTTCAACTTTGCCCATTTTTTTTTTTTTTACCAGATAATTCCACTGAAAGTGCATTTAGAGACTTTATCATGAATCTCTGGGCTTGAGAAGAAAGTGACATATTATATAAAAGACTTTGTGCTGAAGGGTTCACTCAATACTTGTAGATATCTTCACACTCACCATTTTCACAGGATCAGACTGGCTTCGAGTCAAAATCTACAACGATTACCTTTTATATCCTGAACACATTATATTTCAGTCAACTTTAGATCCCCTTTCAAAAACAGCCATAATGGTTTACGGAGATACAACAGGTGCAGAGATTTTGAGGCTGAAGATGCTCTGTTACTGAAATGAAATATGAAAAGTGGATTTTAGCCCCATTCACAGCTGTGCAAATTAGTTGCATTCATCCAACAACCTAGTTTATAGAAGGAACACGTTTGTTGCCAGCCAACCAATAACGCAATCAGGAAGCATTTGAAACTCATTTCAGTTTACACTCATTTCATAAATTTCCTCAAGGGCCATTTTCTATCTCCGTTTATAGCCATTCAGTTCATTTCAAATTTGGCGGCAAAATTGTTCAAAGGATGATCTGTGATTGAAGTTTTACTGACCAAAGAATATGAATGTACTCTCAAAGACTCTAACAGAGGGGATGTACAGTAAATATCTAATCAATACGCAATACAAAACTCTTAGTTTAAATGAAAACTATATATGTCCCATAGGCTACAAATTAATTGTAAAGTGACTAAACTGTTTCTTTGATTACTAATTTCCAGTTAATTAGCCACATTAAGATGCAAATATAAAAGTTTATACTCACCAAGTAAAAACTGCACACAAGACTCATTTCAGTTCTGAGAGAGATGTAGAAAATGGGGAGAAAAAGAAATGAAAGTGTGAGGAAAAACAAGTCAAACAATTAAAGGATAAAATTAGAGAGAAAAAATTAGTGGAAAACCTTTAAAAGAGAAAAGAAGTAAGGCAGAAGTGAGCAGACAGAGACACAAGTCTGTCCCTAAGTAATGGTAGGCTCGTGAATGAGGGCTGCTTAAGACTGTGTGGGGGAAGAGAGAAAAAAAAATTAATCATTACACTTACTGTAAATATGTAACAGACCCAACCTGACCATAAAACTCAACAAACTGCATTCTGCTCAAACACCCACAGGCACATGATGATGGGATACAATCATACAAGATGGAGAGTAGCCAATCAGAGACACCATTCAGCCTCAAACCTCTTCAAATCAGCCCCCTCACACTTCGACCTCTTCATTCAGTCTTTTAGTGCTTCCTTCCTCTGCTGTTACATGGTTCAAAAACTTATACAGATATGTGGGGCAGATTATAATTAATTGATTAAATATCTAAATGGAGAAAGAATCAATCACTGATGATGCACCAGAGAAGCATAAGTCAAAAACTAGTTAATTTTCTTTCTTTCTTTCGTTCTTTCGAGTAAACAAAGAACCTGTTGAACTTGTTTTACATTGTTGAAATATGTTTAATTTGCAAACAGTTTAGAATAAATGTAGGCTACCTCAAAATATGATGTAAATTAAAATGAAGACATTGCCTTTTTGTCATAGCAGAAGTTGCATTTGAGCCAGCAGCATAATTTTAACTTTCTTTTGCATTTGTCATTATTCTGTTGTGTAACACATATAGAGAAACATACATCTCCACATTTCATCACAGTCAGGTATTTCATTTTCATGGAAAAGATTCACCTGAAGACAAGAATTCCTGCAAAGTGGGTCCTCAGACAATGACTTTTCTTTCTTTGTAACTGACTTGCATGTATCTTTCACCAAAGTTTGGCAACTTTTATAATAATTCATTCATTCATTCATTTTCTACCGCTTATCCTCTAGTAGGGTCGCGGGGGGGTTGGAGCCTATCCCAGCATCCTTTCGGGCGAGAGGCGGGGGAAAACCCTGGACAGGTCGCCAGTCCATCGCAGGGCACACAGAGACAAACAACCATTCACTCTCACATTCATACCTATGGTCAATTTGGAGTAACCAATCAGCCTAGTCCCCTGTATAATAATAGTTTTGTGAATAAATTATTACTTATTTAGCACCTGTTGGTCACACCGAGAAAACACATTAATGTGTCAAGATCTAAAACAGGAGACCTAAATATTAGTGAGAAGGAAACTGAAAGAGATCAGTTCAACTCTGCTCTGACAATGTACTTTATAGAATTGTAATTTCACTTACACATTCTTCCCTCACTAATCCACTAATCAAATGATACAAAATATATATAACAGAAAAGAGGACTCAAACATAAACTCCTTTTATGGTATAACTTTTACTTAAGTAAAGGGTCTAAAGCTTTTCGGGAATTAAATTCTTCTTAAAGTTTGTAAAAAATTTCAGGTGTCTGTGGTTTCTGAAAGTGTATTTAGGTAATTAAATATCGATGTCTGTGATATTTCTAAAATAGCCCCAAAGACCTGAGGTAAAAAAACAAACAAACAAAAAAAATCGCTATTCTCGAGCTGTTCAGTTTGACCCATGTGGTCTCCCGTACTGCTGAAGCGGTGTTGGCCGATGTGTGAGTAGCTAACTAATGTTTTCTTCACGAGTGTATTGGCTGAAATTACCTCTGGGAGGAATAAAATATTACTCCCGTGTGCCTTAACGTGTAACATATAGACATACATTAACAGACAAACTGATGGAGAGCTTATGAGAGCTCGCGATCGTTTTTTATCGTGCTAGCCAACGAGACTTCCCAGCTAGCTTTCGCAATTTGAACGTTAGCCACATTAATGCTAATTTTAGCTCTCAACATAACGTTAGTTGTGATACTGAATAGCTACAACTAGAGAACAAGTAAACAAGTGTTTTGTCAGCCTGCTAGTCAAGGAAATTGTAGTTTTTGTTCAGATAGTGTTCTGTATTCACCTCATTCGTAATATGGCTCCTTTACACAGGACTGAGCCAAACAAAAGTCATGAATTGTATTGATTTCAGATGGTGATTTAACTTTGCTAAAGCGTTTTTGTAATGTCTTACCTTCTATAACAATAGTGTAACAGTATAGCACGATTAGAGAAATGACTCTCTCGTTAATATACCAGCATGTGTACAATCTGTTTCAGGTCAAAATGGCAGAGCTAACAACACTAGAGAGCCTGCTGGAGATGGGCTTTGACAGAAACAGAGCGTGAGTTGACACCACAATCAAAGACTGATCCTGTTTAATATGGTTTCTAGATATGAGACTGGTTTCAAGTGAAATAAAACTGTCTAGCATTAAAGCAACCCTACTTGTCCTGCTGTGTTGGTGTTTTCAGAGAGAAGGCGGTGGCCAACACGGGGAACCAGGGGATAGAACAAGCCATGGACTGGTGAGTCTGATAGACACAGGAATAATCATACTAGTAGTGAACTGCCCAGGTTAATATAGTCCTCAGCGCCACAGTGCAGCTTGCCACTCTCTCAACAGTTTAACCCCTGTCTTTCCTCTGTGATGTGCTTTCCTCAGGTTAATGGAACATGAGAACGACCCTGACATTGATGAGCCCTATGTGCCGCCTGTGGGAAACGTCCTGGGAGGGGAAGCAGACAGCCAGTCCAACGCAGAACAGCCAACCCTAGCCGACACCGCTGAAGGTCACATATGCCTTGAGACAATATAAATTTGTCTACCATCAAGTATCTTGTCAGAAATTTATCCCATGGCAGCTTTCTAGTATTGTTTTTTGTATGACTTTGCATCACTTTCTTCATTTGTAAGTTATTTAATTCACACGATTTGACAAAATGAGACATTCCCATCTGGTTATTTTATCTGCAGAGTTTTTTAGTTGATTATTCCAGAAAAATTGCAATATTGGGATATACACTGATATCATCATATGTGACAAATTTATCCATGGCGCCCCCCACATCCCTGAGTCACATGTTTCAAAACATGTAATTTCCATCTGTGATCAAGATATAATCTCTAATTTATCTTGAGTAGAATGAAGTGGTAGTCACTGTTAATTTACACTGAATGTAATATGATGTCAGCCATTCATGTCAGTCCATTTGTTTTGGCTTCAGGTGGAGATATCGGCTACAACGAGACTGATGAGAGTTCAAAGCAGCCAATGACGGAGGAGGAGAAACGTGAGCAAGTTAAGAGGTCAGAGTGCACACGTAACTTTTACTGATGGTGGAGATTCAGTGTATTGGTCTTGACTTTTATCTATAAAAAACCCATGGTTGTGTCTAGGAGTTCAAAATGATGTGGGCATACTCTTTTTAGAGATATTGGAGAATTGTCTCTTCTTCAGGCTAGAGGAACTGATGCGGGTGAAGCAGGCGGAGAGAAGAGAGCGAGAGCGGGCAGAAGAGGTGGAGAGAGAGAAGGTACGGAGGAGGCAGGGCCAAGAGCTGCAGCAGATCCGCCAAAAACTGCAGGATGATGATATGAAGAAGCTTGCTGATCAGCGCAGGAGAGAGAAAATGGAGGACAAAATGGCAAGGTAGGGTCTTAATTAAAACACATCTCTGAGCAAGGAAAAGGAGATTCAGGTAATGGTTATTGACTGTGTATAGAGACATGAAGCAATTTATCATGTTTAAGCTGTAATAGAACGTTAAAGTACCTAAATGATCCAAGGATGTTTCCACTTCTTTGCCTGATAATCAGACTGAAATATTGTTTTATTTATTTATTTAATTATTATTATTATTCATTATTCTTAATGAATTTCTGGAGAAAATCAAAAGATTTGGGCAGAAATGCAGAGGTCTGGAACCAGGTTTGCTAATCACAGGAGGTCTAACATTAAAAAATAAAATGCACCCATAGTTCTTGTTTGAATGCCATCCTATTTCATCTTGAAACAAACTAAGATAATAGAAGAAATACTATAAATTGGGAAAATTGAGGTGGGCACTGTAAAGGATCTCAGAGGCTAGGTCCAAAAATAAGTGACAAATTGCAAATGAACAAATATGAGCAGGCATCTTCACTAAACTGTTCTTAATGATTTTGTGTCGCTTGTTTTTATTCCTGTCAGACAAAGGGTTAAAGAGAAGATAGCGCGAGACAGAGAGGAAAGAGCGCAAAAGGTACCTCTGTCATTGGTGTAGTTCACTTTTCCCTTTGTCTTGTTCACTTCCAATTTCTTTGTATTGCCACGTCTGTTGGACCCAATAACTTAAATGACTCTTGTGTTTGTTTATTTATTTATTTATTCTTGTGTCTAGTTTGGAGGCGGAGGACCCCCGAGCACAGCTGCATCATTCCAACCTGCCCAGCCCAGCCCCTCATCACCCACCAGTCAGGGCCCTCCACCCACTAAGAAGGAGTATGATGAGTCCAGGATACAGGTGCAGTGTTCAGCCATACTTGTTTTGCTTCTTTTTTTTTTCTTTTTTTTTTGTCTAATCAGTGTAATCAATGAAAAGATCAGACTTATTTTAAAGTGTGAGACAAACTGACATTGATGCAAATTTGTATTTATTTTAATGACTAAATATATGTTTGGCATGAAACTGTAAAATGTATATTCCCCACTTCTTCTCTCCTCTTCCCCTCCGCTCTTCACAGGTACGTCTGCTGGACGGCTCCACCATCACGACGGTCTTCAAGGCCCAGGAGCCGCTGGCGGCAGTGCGTGTCTACGTGCAAATGAACGGCAACACACCAGAGGGTCAGGACTTCATGCTGCTGTCGCCCTACCCGCGTCACGTCTACACCGAACTGGACATGGAGAAGCCCCTGAAAGAGCTGGGTGAGCACTGGGTCGTAGAGCGGTATTTGAGTAGGAGAAGTGAAGTGGCGAGATGGGTCGCATCGTATAGCATTCACAGGACTTAGTGGACGACTGTAGGGAGGTTACATCATCTGTCTGAACTGTACGCCATTTACACCTGGTACTCTCATAGAATGCATTGTGATTGTATCTGACCTTTTTTCACAATTTCCCTGTCTGTCTTTTTAGGTTTGGTGCCTTCAGCTGTGCTGGTTGTTGCCAAAAAGTGAGATCAGGAGGATCTGCTCTGTGAGCCTACCTCACCACTTCCACTACATCACCACCAGAGACACCTGAAACGGATGGATCCAGGAACAGAGCCGCCACCTTTTTAGTATCACTCAATAAGCCAGCTAACTGAACTAAAGCAGAGATGGAGCTGGAGGCTGTGTTCAGACAATGTGTAATAGTTCTTAAAATGAAGATATGGAAAAGTTATAAGGAAAAATGGTTTGTTTTTTCTAGACTAACTGAATGCAGCTCCTTGTCTTTCTGGGCTGATTTCACTGGCTGTAGATTGGATTGACAGTGACCTTTACCTATCAAGAACAAAGTGATGATAGCTGGCTTCTGACTGATACTGCCTCAAGAAGCACCGCTCATGGTTTCAGCAACACATTTACAAAAATGATACAGAACAAATTTGTTCAGTTTTAACCCGATCCTTATATAGCAAAGCACCACACAAGACTTACTTGATTGGTTCTGAAAGGGCCTTAAATTTAATCCCCACTATCTTCCTGATTTTGTGACATTCTACTTTGCCAGTTTTTTTATAAGTTAAAATATATTGACAGTTATGTCTACATAATCACCAAGAATCTACTTACAATAAAGCTGACTTGGAGAATTGTGATGGTGGACTGGATTTTCTAAAAATCACTTGTGTAACCCTCCTGCTGATATTCTGTATTTTTCTTTTTGTCAAACACTTTTTAGTTATTTTAATTATTAGGATTGATTTCATTTTATTAAGACCATGGAAAGCTGGAATAGGCCAAAAGTATCACTGCCCACTGGATTTTAAAGCACCTAGTGAGCTGGAACTCTGTGACATATAAAATAAGATGAAAATGTTAACATGCAAAAGCACGGCTGTAAATAATAAAATCATTGCTGGCTGAATTCCATTTAGCTGCTTCAGGTTGAGGATTGTGGTATTGTGCATGCTGACACATTGTCATAGAACTGAGCCATCTTTGATGTCAAACACCTGTAATTAGAAACAGCTGTGAACACAACACTGACATCATCGCTTTTTAAGTTGATATGACAATGTTGTTAGCAAAAAGTTGCTTATATACACATCCGGGAGTTAAGGAGCAACATTGGTTGCAAAGGTCTGACTCTTCAGTGGCTAAATGCTTCACTATGTTCACCAGCTTGTTGCTGTGTCCGTCTGATGTTTGGTGCTGAGCAGCTGGTGTACAGCTGGTTTTAGATTTTTTTTTCACCACGCTATGAGAAGGTTGGCTAACTACACAATGAGCTGAAACCCACCATTTATTTCCGTAAAGATGAGAGTAGCTACAGAGTAATTCTGTGTAGGTTAATCACTACAAGTGACCCCTTTCACATTGTCATTTGACACCATTATAAAGAATATTGGTTACACACACTTTTAGTAGAACTAATGGGCAAAAACAGAAGAAGGGACCCTTACCCTTTTATTAAATCTCTTAAAGTTATGTTAGGTGGCTCCAGCCACCTGAAAGTCCATTCAATTTACAGACAGCACTCGTGTTGTCTTCATATAACACTCTGAGGAAGGCAAATGCATAAGTGGACTGTTGGTAATGATCTAACAAAAAGAAAATGAGCGCTACGTATATATGTACCTATCAAAATAACACTACACTGAGCAAATGAGATTGTCTTCAGTTGAATTCCTGCCAACATGAGGCCAGAGGCAATACAACATGATGTACAGAAATTTCCAGAATTTCCAACTTTTTAAAAGATGCACAGGCCTAAAGTTTTAGTTTCAGTTAATGAGTATCACAGAGACAAATGAAGACACACAACACAAAGGAGATCTGTTGTGACACACTATAAAACACCTTTATATACATTAGAAAAAACAACAAATGGCCTATTGTGTGGAATGGTACAAAATGTCAATCATACATCACCTGTAAAGTTGTGATAAAGTTGTGGATAACTTTAAAACACAAGCAAAGGGGTTGGCTTGCAAACAAATACAAAAATAGTTCTGATTAAAATGCAGACACTGATGCACTGAAAATGAACGTCACTGTTTCCTTTCGTCGTCTTCCCACCTGTCCCTCAGACTCAACGCTGAAATGACACATGTTAAAAGATCTCAACTCCAGTCTCTCAATCTCACAAATCCAGGACAGTGAGGTAACTCAGAGGAAGGACGGAGAGGAAAGGATGCTGGGATTATTTTTAGCAGGACTTGACTGGCAGGACTGGGTGCTTCAGTTTGTTGTTCAGCTGAGAAGTCATCCTGGGTCAAACTGCTTCCCGTGGTCTTTTGGTGCCACACTTTTGGTGCTGTTGATCTCTTTAGCTGGGAGGATAGTAGCCCTGGTTGTAGTTCCAGGTGTTCTGGTAGCCGTAGCTGCCGTACTGCGGTTGCTGGGAACAAATCACAACAGATAGGAAATAATGTACACGGAATATCTTGAACTGTGTTTTATCATAGTACACCCACCCTCACCCTAGCTTCTCTTTAGGTCATTTTGTCAGTTAAAATCTCATTAGTACCTGGTACCAACTGCTGTATCCCCCGTAGCCAGTCTGTGCGCTCATGTCGGTGCCCATCATAGTTGGAGGGGGCGTGGTGATGGGGACGTGCGGCATGGTAGGTGGGACTTGTGTGGACACGGCAACAGCAGAGCCGTCCTCACTTTTGCTCAGTTTCTCCGAGTCCTCGTCCCTGCAGATCAAACACTCCATCAACGGCAAGTCAACGCTTTCAGCCAGTTTTCAACCTTCCTCCTATTTAACATCAGCCTCAGTATCAGTGCCAGTGTCATTGGACGAAATAAGTGATTTTTTTTTTTTCAATTAATATCCTAAACTGCGTCTTTAACTTGTGCTATTCTGCACAAAAGAATGGGACATTAATATATAATGCACTTTCCCCTCTCACCCGTTTTCTGCTCCTCTCTTTGTTCCACCGAGCTCCTTCAACAGTTTCTGGTGATCTTCGTAGACAGACAGCACACTGCAGAGGACAGAGACAATGAGGAACAACATTCTGGTCAAAGATGATGACTGGTTTGTTAGGTACGATCACGGTTTACATGACCAAATGGATTTAAAATATTTAATAATATCAGATGACTTGTGCTGAACTCTGACCTCTGGATAGAGTTGCTGTAGTCCTCTGCGAACTGCAGGCCTCTCTGTGAAAAGAGGATCTTGGTGTGTGGGGCGAGAGGCGCTGCCAGAGCTCGCGTCACACACTCCTGCACTGCCTCAGCAGAGGCCCAGGGGTCCCCCGACACCTCCAGCTCTAACAGGTTCAAGTGCAGTTTATCATTATCCTGAGGCAGAGAGAGGAAATTAAAAACAAGAGTTACTATATGTTGTAAGTACTACATTTTGGCTTTTTACTTCTGAAGCTACAAGTATCATTCACAAGAATATGAGATGTAAATCATAGCGTTCAACACATCATTTATGCAGAAATCTGACAATTACCACTTGGCATGGTCAGTTATTAGAAACTGAAACTTATCACTCTGTCAGATGGTTAAAAAAACTCAGCAGGTTGCATCATGAATAGACAAAGCCTCTTGCAAACTGAGTGTGGACAATCTGAAAGCTCAAGCTGTCACACAATTAAAAATAAATTAATTTCAGCCACTGGCGGGCAAGTTGTATGAAGCAAAACAGATTTTTAGAGCAAAGCTACATTCACATTCCTTAACTTTTAAAGCGGTGAGAGGAGATGGATCAGAATCCTGTGATGTCTGTGGGTGTGTGTTAATCATCTCACCGGACTAATCTCCAGCGCCTCCTGTAAAACTCTGCGGGCTCTGGCGGGGTTCCTCTCGAGCTTCAGCAACAGGCGAGCCAGCTTGATGGAGTAGAAAGCGTGTAACGTGGGCTTCTCTTTGGATTCAGCCACCGCATCCTGCAGCAAGGCCTCCGATTGGTCCAGATGGCCTGCTCGTCTCTCCAGAGCGGCCCTGCGGAGACGGACCACTGCCAACCCAGGCAGGAATTTCTCCAGGGCCTCCAGCACTCGCCGAGCCTCAGTTAAATCACCTGTTGGAGAAGATGAACGAGTTGTCATGAATGTGGTGGCTACAAAATAAAGGACTCTGATGTGTTGGCTCTGTTCTATATTAAGTTTCGCGGCTTTGTGATGTTTTTGCATCGGACTGCTTCATAATGAGGTAATACGCTTATTTAAATAAATGGCTATATTTATATAAATACTTAAAATATAATGCATTCTAATACAATGGCACCGCAGGATACAACCTAAAAATTACCAGTTTGTGAAACTGTCAACAACTATTCAAGATGGTTGTATTTATTACATGACTGTATTGCATCATGTACGTCACACATGCACAGCTTTGATTCAACTGAAATAGTTTTGATAAGCTGACTATAAATCCTAAAAGCAGAGAATAGGAAATGACCAGTTGAGGTTTGTCTGTTATGATGATTTAATCCTGTGTAGTAGAACTAGATCATATTCAACAAGCTGTTCTCTACCTTCTGTATTAATTCACGTGTGGACATAAAGGTATTGATGTAGAATTCTTATTAGTCCCTTTGACATCCTTTGGTGAAACTACACACATACAACTTGCCTTCACTTTTCACTGAATCGGTTACCATCTATTTCACTTTCAATCAATTTAACTTCAAGTCAGACCTTCTTAAGATATTTAACATTTCAAAGAAAAGGAAAAACAGTAAAGCTTTTATTTGCACAGTGTGTCTATGTGTGTTAATGTCTCATCGTACCGTGCCTCTCCTCGAAGGTGGCCCACTGCATGTGGATGTTGGGTTTATATGTCAGGTGAACCTCACAGGCTCGTTTGTAAACAGCTCGGGCTTCGTCCACACTCTGCGGCTCCAGGTACTGAATGTACTGAACAACATACACATGCACATGTTAGGCAGAGATCATACACACCAGTATTTATACACACACAAACTTCTCTTTTTAATCTAGTCTTGAGGCTTTCAACGACACTTAGACATGGAACTAGATACACACACACTTTTTCCTTACCCTGGTCCAGAACTCCTCATACAGAGCGCAAGCGATTAGGCAACGCTCAAAGAGGATGCGAACCCTGTGGTCGTCAAGGGCAACTGCAGCATCCTCTGACACTTCGTGGGTCTGAGCCGTGACCTCTGACCCCTCTGTGGCTGCCTGGTTTGGATCTAGTAAGGGACAATGGTGTCAAAACTGCAGATGCTTTCAGACGTTGAAACACAAATTGATCAAACCACAGAGACAAAGGTGACAACAGTCAGCATCTTCATCATGTATGTCACCTTGGTTGGGGTCTTTGGTGTCCTTGTTCAGCTGAGCAATTTCCCAGTCCAGGTAGGAGTGCCAGGCTCGCAGCTGGAGCCGGTCGAGTGACTTGACGTGGAAGTAGGGCCGCTTGATCTGCACGATGGAGAGAGACAGAGAGGGAAAATCAGATGTGTTTTTTGATGTAGCAATGAGTGGATGAGGTGAGTGTAGTTTGAAGTGGGTAACCAGTTCAAAGACTTTAAATCTAAAAAGACAACATGATGTTTACAGGTCAAGAGTCAAATAATTTACAGTGAAACTTAATTTTATAGTGATTAAGAAATTAAGAAGCAAAACCATTACACATTCTATTAATGCTTCACCGGTTTGGGAAT